TTAAAGAAGTGACATACACTGTTTACATTTGATACTTTGGAATTGTTTCTTTAATTTACATTTAACTAACTGAAAGCTTATAGCATCCTGCACAGATCCAAAGTGTGCTGCCTGGCAATGTGTCCACCACTCTGATGGAGACCACCTCGCTAGTACCCTAGAAAGCTCCTTCACTACCCGTCCCTGTGCTGTATCCCCCCAAAATAGCCTCACTTTTAACCTATCACCACGGATTCAGTTTTCCAGCTTTGTACCTTCATATAAACAATATGTGACCCTTCCTGTTGCAAAACATATTTTTTTTAATTTTTTTTAAAGATTTATTTATTTGTGCATACAGAACTGGGGTACAGGCCAGAGGCTCAGGGGCAGCAAGAGGCTTCACCAGAGACAGAATGGGGAACACAACAGGCAGATCTATGAAGTACACTGCTGAGGAGAGCAGCGGGCGGGTCAGGAGAGGTCTGCCCCACCATGTGGTCACCTCTGGGGCAGGCGGGAATCGAACTCATGCAGAAGCGGCTTTAGATTCTCAGTGCAGTGCTTTAACCTGCTGAGCCACCAGGGAGGGCCATTTTTTTTTTAATTTTTTAAAAAGATTTATTTATGTATACAGAGCTGGAGTATAGGCCAGAGGTGTGGGGGTGGTGAGAGGATTCGCCAGAGGCAGAGTAAATGAAATACACTGCTGAGGGGAGCAGCAGGCGAGTCAGGAGGGCAGCAGGCCACGCCATGTGGGTCAGCTCCCTGGCCCGATATCGAACTCTTGCTTAAGCAACTGCCACAAGCTTCACTGCTGTGCTTTAACTGCTACAATTTCATTGCCAACAACTTGGAAGATCAAGAATAAGGACAAATAAGGAAACAAAACCCTCCCTTAATGTCATCACTTAAGAGATTACTGGTTTGCTTCTTCTACAAATATTTTATTGAGCACCTGGGACCAGGCAGAGCCCAGGAGTAAAGCATAAGGCAGCCCCTGTCCTTCTGGAACTTAGGGTCTGGTATTTGTTTCTGTGGGATAGTCAGAAGTTCCATGGCCTGCACCACACAGAGGGTGGGTGTGCACTCTCACACCATCCGCTCAAAGGCCTGGAAATGGACTTTCTAGGCACTCAGGACCACTTGGAAATTTCAAATCACAGAAAAGTTAAAAACTGAAATCGTTGCCCAAGCCAACTAGCCATTTTTCAAAAGAGAAGTCGGAGACCCAGAAATGGTGCTTTTCAAAGCAGTTGAGGACGTAAAGAACCATCCAGAAACTGATCTAACACATAAACTAGAACTTCAGTCTCCTACCCCCATAGTCTAGAATATTCCCTAGGCTGTGATGCGGCTCTCTGTCAGGTCCCCAACCTCCTTAGACGAGATGGGGAAGTACTTATATTTTACCTTAGAGGTGACTTCATTTTGAAGCCTTCTGGAGACTCTCCCAAATCAATGGGAAAGCCTTGAGGAGTGAGACAGCAGAGGACAGGGAATACCAGCCTCTCCCTGCTGTAGCCATGGGAAGTAGTGAGAAGATTGATTGTAACAAAGCAGGAAAAAGTATCACTTACTCTGCAGAATCACAGGAGAGGTCAATCCACAGAAAACCCTTTTTTGCCATTCTGTGGAATTTCCATGATGTTTCTTTACTCTACTTTGCAGAGTAAAGAATTGGATTTTAAAGTGTCATACATTGAGGACTGCATTTCCCATAGAAAATCTTGGCATTTGACCTGTAAATTTACCTTAAGTAGAGAATCTACTGTGGTCTCTTCAAATTCAGTAACTCTTCAAAAAAAAAAAAATCTGGGAGTACAAGAACCAGAGAGATCAGCTGTCTCACTCATTTTCATGTCTGGATGTGCTACTTCTTTCTAAACCTGAAAACCTATCACAATCCAGGAACCTGCAGTTACAGACTCAATTCATCTTCACAAAAACACAATAGAAAATTATTTTTTCTTTTATTATTATTATTTATTATTGTTATTCCTTAGTTTTCACATAAGGAAACTGAGAATCAGAATGATTATATCACACAGTAGAGCTGCACAGCTGGTTAAACAATTCTCAGACTTAAGTCCAGTCTCTGGTGTCTGCCGTCTGTTCTCTGCTGTGTATCTGAGCTGCTCTTCAGGGCCCCGTCTCCAAAAGCAGTGAGAGCTGCAGGCCTTCCTGCTTTCATCCTGAAGCCCTGCTCAAAAGTCCTGAGCCCCAATTTCATCTTTTAATTTACTCCAGTGACTGTAAGCCATCTCCCTAAAATACTGTATCAGTCCATCGCCACTTTATTATGTGCAAAGCATGAACAAGGCATATGCCAACTGTAATCTTGCTTTCTCTGTTTGGGGAAAGTTGAACCAAGGGTCTTATGAGATAACTGATTTAGTTAGGACTTAAGTCCTGAAGGACTATCACTTTCCCTTTTTAATTTCCATATGAAGAGATAGGAATTGAATCTGTTCACAGATCTCTAGTCGCAAGTACTTAATGGCACCTGTATTACCAGGTGGCATAGACAGGGTGGATCCAGGCAGGATCACAAGAAGTCACTAGATATAAATGTCCAGATTACCTGGCAGTCAAGTCTGAACATTCATAGAAAGTTTCTCTCTACCCTATAGAAAATTAGGGGCAGCTGGTTTGGGGGAAGAATAAGTTTGCTGACACTGAATTTTGAAAGATAAAAACGTATGAGAGTCACATTGGGCACACAGTCATTGGAACTACAAATCAAAGCTTTGTTGTTAAAAGGGAAGTGATTGCTGGTTTTTTAATGGGTTTTCCCAGCTAAACACAGAAACTGATCTTCATTACACTTGACTGCTTCTATACTGATAGCAAGTGAGAGACAGAGAGAAAGAAACTGTTCTCCAGGGACATTTACTCTGAGCACTTCATTATCCTGGTTGAGGGGAGCTGGGTAGGCAGAGAATGTTCTTCTATTGGTTGAATTATGAGGCACAGGACCTGCCATATGTCACAACAAACAATAAAGTAAAATGAAGGCCCTTGTTTCCATGAAGGTATCACCCCTTGCTCAGGGAAAGAGAGGCTGAGAAATACAGGTATAACCCTTCCCTAGAGCAACCGGCACACAACTCCGCAACCCTTCTTTCTGGTTCCCAGAACAGGGGACCCAGGTATCTGTAGCAGCCTCTATACTCCAAAGAGACAGCCTTTCCAACCTGGGCTCAGCCACATCTGGAATTTCACCCTCATATGTCTAGATGTGATCCTGAACCGAGCTGATAAGAGCTGCTGACTCTTCCCCCCACCCCCAGCTGAAATTCCTCTCTCTGAAATTGCTCTTTCCGGACCTTACCTGTCTATAACCTGTCGAGACTACGTCACTAGCCCCAGCTTCCTCCTAATGGTCTTTTAATAGAATTTGTTCAAAAGCTCCTTTGACAATTTTCTGCTGATTCTAAATTTTTGGTCCTTATCTCCCGGTCCCTTCAATCTCAGTGGGGAAATCTAGCTGAGTCTGAGAACCCTAAGCCCCCAGAGGGGCTAGATTTGACTATTAGGAACTGTCTCCCTGCCTTCCCAGGCTGAAAAGTGAGCACACTATTATTCATCCAAGAGATTCCACCAGGGTGGTATTATTCAGAATGTATACTCCCCCACCCCCAACACACACACTCCCCTGCACTGTAGGTCTTGGTATGTCACAGATGAGGAAACTGAAGCTTACAGAGGGGCTGGCAGTATCCTCTGTCCTAAGGGTCTGTGAGTTGTCAATCCTAAAATGCCCCTTGCCCTGCTCTTCTGCAGGTTAGATACAGCCTGTAGTGCACCCATGCCTCCTTCCTTCCTTCCCCAGGACACCCTGGGAAGAGGTTGATACTCCAGCTGTGCTGAAAGGTTCCCCAGGTTTCTTGCTGGCTAAGGTGGGAGTGGAAAAAAATATCTTTCCTTCAGCGACCATGTGGCTGACTTTTCAACTTAGAGTTCCAGATAGCCACTGACAAGGAGCCCTCACTCCCCTGAGTGCAGTCCCTAGACTGGGAACCGCTGAGTCCTGGAGCTGAGAATACTCCAGAATCATTGGTCCCAGCATGATACTTGAACTGTCCATGCAGCTGCAGGCCAAAGCTTGGTTTTCCGAGCTAGGAAGGAATCCCTGCCATTCGGTCTTTGCCCCCAAAGCCCAGCCACTTTGATATTCTGGGTTTAAGCAGGAGAATACTGCCAGGAGCCCAGCTCCCCAAAGGTTTGACCAGGCTGGGTGCTGGTGCCCCCACTGAAGGTGGAACTCAAATTTGGCTACTCCCTCTGACCCTAAATTAATCGGTCGGTGCCTCCTTCGAAAAGGTCTCCGGGTTTCCTTCCTGCTCTCCTACAGGAACAGCAGTTCTGCAAACCCCAACCACCAAACCTGGCTGGTGAGGGCCCATGGTCTGCCCGTGGGTAACCCAGGTAGAAGTTAGTGGAGTCGCAGCCATCCTGAAGACACTCGGCCTAACACACCCCAACCTGCAAACAGGCCGCCTAATACCTCCTCCTCCCCCACCAACCCCCTCACCCAGATCTCTGCGTCCATCCCCAAGCAGTCCTCCGCTCGGCAGGCTCTCTGGATCCACCACCTGCGTGAGCTGGGACGCTTCGGAGAGGATCTAGCTTCGCGTCCTCCTGGTCCAAGATACCTTAACTTCCACCAGCTCTCACCTGAGCCCCCGAGGCGCAGTTTCTTCTTTCCAGACTAAAGCCGGACTGCAGCTGGTGGAAAAGCTCCTGAGCCTTCCATTCTAGGCTACAAGCTACTTGCTTAACAAGTCCAAAGGTCAGCTAAAGTTTACCCGATAAACAGAACCTGTAAAAGGTCTTCAGACCCCCAGCACGGGTAGATGGACCTGGCAAGCCCTGTTCCCGCCGGGTCTCCAGCTCTGGGTCTGCCCCTCTGGCTCTCGCTCTCTCGGTCCCCCCCTCCCCCCCCCCCCCCCCCACTATTTGCATCTTGCGAAAGCCCGGCCCTCCCCACTAATTTGCATATCTTATATGGCCTAATGGTGGCGATCATGGCAAGTTAGAAGTTTTCTGACTCCTCTCGGAGGAGACTCCGGGACCCCGGGGAGTAACAGGTGTCTGGAGGCTGAAGGGTGGGGGGGCTTCTGGACTTGGGGGTTCACGTGTGAGACTCCCTTCCACCCTTCCACCCTCCTCTCGCGCACCCACCCACCCTCATCCCCTTCTTTTTCTGTCCTTGGAAAATGGTGTCCAAGCTTACGTCGCTCCAGCAAGAACTCCTGAGCGCCCTGCTGAACTCCGGGGTCACCAAGGAGGTGCTGGTCCAGGCCTTGGAGGAGTTGCTGCCATCCCCGAGTTTCGGGGTGAAGCTGGAGACACTGCCCCTATCCCCAGGGAACGGGGCCGAGCCGGACACCAAGCCGGTCTTCCATACCCTCACGAACGGCCACGCCAAGGGCCGCTTGTCGGGGGACGAGGGCTCTGAGGACGGCGATGACTATGACACCCCTCCCATCCTCAAGGAGCTACAGGCGCTCAACACTGAGGAGGCGGCGGAGCAGCGAGCGGAGGTGGAGCGGATGCTCAGGTAGGCGCGGGCTGCGGTGGGGAGTAAGCACCCGAGTGCGGTGAGCCGCGGGCCTGGTGCCTGAGTTTCACTGCGTGGGATCCCTCTGGCCAAACCTTGCCCACCAGGGGAGTGCCCCGGGGGCGCGCGGCGCTGTCTCCCGACACCTGGACCCTCCCAATCCCTCCACCCGCCGGGTCCGCAGCCCTGGACTCCATCACCCCCAGCCCAGCCCAGCGCCCCGGGACCTAGGGGCCCTCCCACCCTAGCTGGGGCCCGGCCTGGAAGAACCCGAGCTTCGGAGCCCTTTTCCTAGAGGTTTTCCGGCGCGACTGAATGTGGGAGTGGTGCGGTCAGACAGCCGCGGGTGCCGGGCGGCGGAGGCTGCGGCCCGCACCAGCCCAGGCCACGCTAGTGCTGCTCGCCGGCACCGCCTCTCCCTCCCGGGGAAGCGTAGGCCGACCTCGGACACAGCGTCCTGCCTTTTTTTTTTTTTTTTTGCTGAAGGACAGGCCGCAACAGGGGCAGAGAGCTGGGGGTGGGGGTGGGGGGCGAGTTCCCCGGGGGGCGCTCCCATCTGTGGCTCCCTTGCCAGACCCCAGGGTTTTCCAGAATCGTCGAAGCGGATCAGGTTTAGAAGGGGAAAGTGTGCACGCTGTAGGGTCAGGGACCCGCGCCGCGCAAAAGAAACCATGTAATTAAGCCAGCGAGAGACCCATGCGGCCAAGACCCCCAGCTGGCCGCGGTTGGGGTCGCAGTCGGAGCTAGGAGGGTGTTCCCAAATGTCGGCGACCCCCGGGAGGGCCGCCGGGAATTCGGACGGGCGGGCCGGCGGTCAGTCTCCCGGTCCGCGATCCTTTGCTGGGCCTCCCCGACAGGCCCAGGGCTTTGACAGCTAGTTACTAATTATCCCGGGGCCAGAGCGGGTCCCTCAGGCCGCACGTCGCTCGCGGCCATTCAGCTTCAGGACCGAGCCCCGTGCGTGGCCCCCGGCACTTCAGCGCCGCGGCTTCGAGGCGGGAGCCGGACCCGAGTCGCTCCTGGGCCTCGGGCAGCCTCGGCGCGAGCTCGCGGTGGCAGTTTGGGACGGGATTTGACCTTGCATTTGAATGAGCTGTCTGGGGGACCCGGAGGCTAACCCTCTACCAAGGACAATTAAGGGGACACTTGTAGATTTTTGCCCCCAAATGTATTTTACCACGAATCTTGGGTTTGAGGTTCTTCCCCGCCGTTTCCCGGGGTGGCAGAGGTTTGTCCCTAGCCGGGGTTAGGGCGCGAGACAGGTGAGAGCGGTTGGAAGGGGAGCGGCAAGGGAGCTGGGGCAGCCTGGAAGTTCACGAGGGCCGGGCGCGCCGGCCGAGCTCCCGCCGCCTGCCTCCCGGCCCCGCTGGGCCTAGGCCCTCGCGACCGCGGCGTGGGGGGCCGGGGAGTCGTCAGGCCCCCTCCGCAATTAGCCCCGCGCTCGGCTGGACGCAACCGAGCTGTAACAGAAACTGCAGCACGTGGAGTTAGGGTGTTATTAATTTATTTCTATAAATCATCAACAGAAAGATACACAAAGAGCCGCGATTAGGTTGAAAAGAGAGGCGGGTTATTCATTGGTGAAGTTGTAAACGCGGCTTAGAGGGGAAGGAAATCAAAACGGGCGCGGGGCTGCTTGCAGGTCCCAGAACACACTCGGGGCACTGAGGGGCGCTCCCCGGCCAAGCACCCTCGGCGGCCCGAGCCCAGGTGCGTGAGCCGGGCTGCGGGAGCTCCGAGCCTCCCGCTGAGGCCCGGCCCGCGGGGAGCCCAGTCCTGGTCGGCGCCCAGGCCCTCCGCTCTCTCCCTTCCGCACCCCCGACCCCAGCGGGGCGGGGAGGGAGGCTGGGGGCCCTGACACCCTCACTGGGGTGAGGACCCAAGACATCACGAGGTTGGTCTCGCTTTTCCAAGCTGGTGCTGCTTTCTTTCCTCCCACTTTCGAGAGCGCTCAGACTTTATTAAAGTAATTTTTCAAGAAATTACCAGCGGTTCCCAGGTCACGGCACAGTCGGTTTCTGAGCCCCAGACACACTCCCTCCCCTTTTTGCTCACCCCCGACCCCTAAGGCGGAAAGAAAAAGAACAGGAAAGGTTCTTTTTCGGAGTGCCTGGGCGCTCTTCCTAGCTCCTCGCTGAGAAAAGGCCCGAAGGAAGGTCGGGCGCTGCGCCTCCCGGGTCCGGGCTGGGGCCGGAGCCCGCTTTACTCGTCGGCCTGTACCGGGGCTGGAAAAGCTGGCCGCTCCCCTAGGAGCGGGATTTAAATTGATCGCGCGGCGAACTGTGCTAGGGTTCAGGTCTTTTCTGCTCGCGGAGGAGAAGTCATTGTTTGAAAGGAGCGTGTGGGCCGACGGTGCGGGCGCGCGCGGGCTTTGACACCTGTGCACGCTGCAGCAAGCCGCACCGTGGGTTTACCCGGCTGGGAACCCCTGGAGAGCAGCTGTGTTTTCGCATTAAATCAACGCAACCAGTCCTCGAGCTTTTCCCGGTGAATCCTGTGGATTCTGGGGTCTGAGAGCTGTAAAGGTTTAACTACGCCATCTTACCCCTCTCCTGCGGGCTGGAAGTTGTGCTAGAGTTTATAGGGTTTTCCTGGTCGGTTTGTTTGTTTTAACTTTCCCAATTGTTGTGTTAATTCATTTTTTCCATGGAATCATTCACCCTTATACTATTTCGCGATATTTCTCGGATACACAAGTGGACACAGGTAAAAACAAAACAAAACAAAACAAACCATTTGAACAAGACAAAATTAGCCAAAGAATCTGTTAAACAGCATTAACTTAAAAAACCCAAATATTTTTTCTGAGGTTCGAAACTATCGTTCGTATCTGTTCAAAGTGTTTTCCCACCCTGTGGAAAATATCTGTGGAAGACATCTGTGGAAATATGCTCCAGAAATCCTCTGGTGTTTTACACGAGGATGTCCAAAACAATCTCCTTATTTTTTCCTTTGACTGAAATCTCCATGTTTGAAATAATAACACATTTTCTCATTTTTTGTTCTTCTTACAAATAGCAAAAATCTGTAGAATCATCTTTATAAGTAATTGAGAAATTCGTTAACTTAGATACAGTTCATCTGAAAAGCTTGTATTAATCAAAACAACATCTCTATCAAAACTCGTGTCCTTATAAATTTAATATCAAAGGCTAAAATGTCAGTATGGAAATGCAACCTATCTCCAGTTAGTTGCTGAATGCTTTAATACATTAAACAAAATTAATTTTATTTCGCTTACTATGGGCACCACTTAGAAATAAATTGGTTATTTCACTTGTAACATTGTACCTGTTTTGGTCATTGCTTGACAACTTAATTTTTCCATCTGAAACTAATTTTTCCTTTCATGTTTTTCATGTTTAATCAGAATTCATATGTACACCAACATACAGTACATGAATGCTGTTTTATTAAACTAAATATGTAGTTGTGTTAAACAAATAGCATGTGAAGATGTATTGCTTCTTTAATACTTTGTTCTGCTCTGTGCATTATTTTCTTAATTTCTTGTTTTAAATGATATCTCCCACTTTTAACTCACCTGTTTTATAAGCAACAAAAGATACTGACAAGGTTGAAAACATTTTAAATAAATAAAACTAAAAGGCACGAATACATTTCACTACAAAATTTATGCAGCCCTGTGTTTACAAAAAGAAAGAAAAGTATGGCCATATTTTTATCCCAAACTTGAAATTTATGAGAAACATTTCCTTCCAGATACTCTTATCCTAGCAGAGGAGAAATACAAATACTAGAAAACAAGACATTTGGGATTGTTAATATATTACTCAGAAATTGAAGTTACTGGTCCTATCAGGTATTAATTGGGAGGAGGAGCTATGGAAGATTTTTTTTCTTTAGCTTTACTTGCTTCACCTCAGTGGAGAGATTCTTCAGTCTCAGGGAGGAATAATTTTGTATTTCTTAAAAATTTCTTCTAGAACTCTGGAATGCATTTAATACTTGGCTAAGAAATCCAGCTTGCTTCTCAGGAAGTGGGCACTTATATTTTACTCCTGTTTCATAAGATGAAAGATGCCCATTGAGAAAGAAAACAATGAGGAAGGGATTTAGGAAATTTAGAATCCAAAGCTCCCCCCCATCACATTGGGACCAGCCAGTTCAGAGCTCTCCTCTTCCCAGTGGTCCTTTGGTCTTTTAAGTCTTTCACATTCCAGGGAAATGAAGCAAAATAAAACAAGCACTTTCGTTTCTGCCTAGTAAGAGTGTTGGTAGTGTCTTCTTCCTCCTGAACATGGAGAGGCATCTTTATCTTTACCCTCCTGATAGCAGCAGCAGGGGTGAAGTGTGCTGCCTAGGAGTTTTCACCTGAGACTCTTATTTAGCTTCTACTTTGGCCCTGCGTCTCTGTCAAAAATACAACACAGGCAGAGAAGTAGGTGAAAATCAAGTTTTGCAGAGTTTAGGTAAGGCCCCAGAAAGGATAGCCCCTTTCTCTGCCCCACGTCTCCCCCCAGCACCTTAACCATCTGCTTCCCCTTCCAGCGAGGACCCTTGGAGGGCTGCCAAAATGATCAAGGGCTACATGCAGCAACACAACATCCCCCAGCGGGAGGTGGTCGACGTCACCGGTCTGAACCAGTCCCACCTCTCCCAGCACCTCAACAAGGGCACCCCTATGAAGACCCAGAAGCGCGCTGCCCTGTACACCTGGTACGTCCGAAAGCAGCGAGAGATCCTCCGACGTAAGTGTTTGATGCCACCTCTGCCTCCACCTGGAGTCAGTGATGTTGCCCTGCCTGTGAGCCCTGTGAGATGCCTCAGTTTCCTTTTCATCAACAAGGCCCACGCACCACTCAGCAAATTTAAGGAAGCTGGCAGATGGATTTGGTCTTCCCAGTTGCTGTATAGTGAATTGGCTGGTACCATTTTCTTCTCTCACAGACCCTCTGCCCAGCCAGTCGCTTTGGCAAGCCCTCTGTGTACAGTGTACCTTGAATTCCTTGGTCCCCATTTCCGGCATCCTTCCCTTGAAATCCAAATAGGTAATAACAGTGGGATATCTTCCCTAAGTAGGCCAACTCACCCCACCTTGCTGCAGGACCACAGATCAGAGTTTCCAAGGGAGATATTCTGTAGATCAATAATATTGATCACTAATGCTGTTCTTTTCCTCCTTTTTGGAAAGAGTATTTTTTTAAAGAGGTGTTTGTGTATAGAGATTTATATTTAGAAATGAACTCTCTTATTTGGGAGAGAGTGGGAGGTAGAATTGAGTTCTGAAGCAATGGAAGGTGCTGACTTACATTCACCAAAATTGATAGAATTTGTGGCCATCAGCTGGTGACCCTGCCTGATAAAGGAGCTGCTTCTGGCTAAGGCAAGACACAGTACAGGTGTCTGTCCTGGGAACTCTGAACAGACCTCGTCATTCCCACTCCTGTGCCCAAATCGCCCTCTGTCCCAAGATATCTCCCTTCAATAATACTGAGTAATTTTTGTTCTGAAGCCTTGGGAAGTTTGAACGCATTTGATTGACCAGAGTATGAATGACATACTGTTTTTATTTTAGGAAAGTATACTTTTATGTTGTACTTTATTTCAAACTGGCCTTTTTCCTGGGAAAAATTTCCCTTTGTTTTCACCCTCTCCATACACTAGCCTCTGGGCAGTGGGCTTCTCTGTCCTTACCCAGATGGTAGGTTGGGTTTTTTCCCTTTCATTGGGAGGCCACTTTTCAAAATCACTTGTTTTCTGCCACACGCTGACTGTTCCAAAGTGATTGTTTCAGAATTTATTGTCTCAGTGTCCATGGGCTGGAGAGGTCTTCATGATGGAAGGAAAGGTCTTAGGCATTTATCTCACAGGGTGGATGGTTGCTGCTTGTTGAATGCATTAACTGGCTAGATCAGATGAAGCAAAGTGAGAACTCTTTGCTGTTTAAGGGAAGAGGTCCCTTTTCAACTCTTGAGTGGATCTACCATCCCTGCTGACTAGGTCCTTAAGAATTTGTGTTTCTGATATGAAGCAACTCCCTGTAATTCCTGTAAAGTCCAAGAAAATTATCAGGGTCAGTCTCCAAAGGCCAAAGGGTACTTGGCACTTGCCCTTACTCCAAAGCAAATTTCATGTGACATTTTCAGTTTGAGCTACCACTTTCATTCAGTGGGAGTCCCCTGAGAATGAAGAAGGAGATAGGAAAGGCCAACCGGAAGCTTCTAAAAAGGCAGAAGTCCCAGAAAGTATCTCAGGATGCCTGAGAACAAAAATTTATGACAGTCTCTACCAGGACTTTTAAAAACCATTATTTTTGTGGTAATTATTATTTTAAAGTGACATGAGAAAGTTGAGCATAAAATTCAAGAAACATTCCTTCATTCTGTAAATATATGTGCCAATCACTGTGTTGGACTGTGGGATATGCAGGCCATTTTCTGCAGGGACTTTCAATCCATTGAGCAAGATGACATGTTTGAGTAACTAATGACAAATGCTTTCTGGAGGCTATTGTAAAGTTATACAGAGGGACAGCAGAGGAATTGATAAATTGGGAGGAGACATCAGGGAGAACTTCCTAGAGGAGGTGACATTTGAACCGATTGTGGAAGGATGAATAGAAGAGACAAACATGGGGTCAAAATTAGGAAGGGAGTTGAATAAAGGAGGGACACAAGTGAATGGGGTGGGTGAGAGAGAAATGGGGCAAAATAAAAAGGAAGACACACGATAATAACTTTTTCTTGAAACATAATAAGTGGTTATAGTCATAGGCCCATCTATACACATAAACGCTCCTTGTACACGTTTATTCCCAAGACACTAATGGGGCTTCTCCAAGTTAGTTTTTATTGGTGACAAACATCTTCTAAACCACCTCGTCCCCTTCATCTAAAAGAAAGTACAGGGGAGCTGGTAATGGCTAGAGGACATGGGGAGTCTAATTCTTCAAAATATGAGAGAGGCTCAGGCCGAGACATAAGGTGGTTCGAATCTGTCTATTTCTGAGTGCTTGAGGTGAGTCAGACTGGGTTCTTCATGCACACTGAACAGATAGCTGCCCCCTCAGAGCAAAGCTGGCAGACAGAGGCAGCCCCCACCACAGTGTCAGGCTTTAGGCATCAGTTTTGTTATCTCAACCTAAGTCAGATGTGTGGCTATATTGTTTGGGTTTCAGCTTAAGTAAAAGGAGCTACATAGGGTGCTGGTGAAGAAGCTTAGCATCTCTAGTATGGGTTCACATCCCGACTCCTCCCAAGGCCATATGATTCTGAGCAAGTCACCAAGCAAGTCTGAACCTCGGTTTCTTCATTTGTAATGGAAAGACAACCATACTTCTCTCATGGAGAGGTTGTGAGAATTAATGAAGGGATATAGGCAGAGGCCTTTCAAAGATACCTCACCATAGAAATAGCTCAGTAAATGTTCATTGCTACCACATCTGTTCATGTCAAATATAGAACTTCAAATTGATCCTGGTTGGGGTTACCCACCTTGGCTTTGGCTAGTACTTACAGTGATCCCATGGGGCAAAGAGGAGACAATGAGACAGACCCTCCTCCCTTTCCTCACCTCTGAGCAGGGAACTTTTTCCTCCCCTCCTCCCAAAATAACTGCATTTAGATTGTGATTCTGAAGAACAAATAATATGGAAAGTATGAAAGTATCTTGCAAAGTATAATCAGACAAAGAGACAGGGAAATGACCTGTTTTAGTTGGGGCCCTACACACCCCACTGAGTTGGTGGCTTCCTGCCAATAAATATGTCAGACATGCCCACAGCTATATAGAGGAAAATTATGGGCAACCACTGAACACATAGCCCTAAGAATCACCCAAAGTTGGTAGGTCCCAAACCAAAGCCCCACTGATAATTTTAGCCCATCCACCAGGGAGACCAAATCAGCCTCTAGCTTGGCCAACCAGCAACTGGCTCAACAAAATTTAGCACCACCGTGTAGGTCCAGGCTGGGTAGGAACCACTGCCTCTCCTGATGGGCAGGAAATGGATCCTGAGGTCAGCAGTGCGTGCCCCCTTGTGGGTGGTAGACAAAGGAGAGGTCCACAGTAAGGGGTATGGTAGCGGATTCAGGCAATTAGTAGTGGCCTGACTTTGAACCTTGAGGATTTTTGGATCCAGTTGTTTCTGAGACCCACAGAAGTGAGTCCAGGAACCAAAAATAAAAACATCAAGGTTATGTGTCCTTGCCCCACAGAATGCTTGGCCTCTATGCTTAGTCATCTGTAAAATGGAATTAATTGCCCCCAATGAACCCTGCTTCCTGCAAATGTGAGGAAAAGAACAACACAGTTCTCTTCTTCCATAAGTAAATATCAAATCCTATTTAAATCACGTAGGCTAAAGACCATCACTGTGCCCAGCTGCCATCTTTATTTCAAACATTCACCAAAACGCATTGAGGATAAACGTATTGCCTGGATCCAAGAATCTGGACAGACAGGGAGCATCATCCAGTGTTTGTTTATTTTTCTTCAACTCATTAAATGTTATTGCTAGGAAGTGTTTTTTAGTCTTTTGCATTGGCTATCTTTCAAATGTGTGGACAGATCTGTAAGGCCTTCTGTCTTGAGCTGTTTCCCTCAGAAATGGAATACATCTCTCTCTCTCTCTCTCTCTCTCTCTCACACACACACACACACACACACACACACACATGCACACACATGCACACACATACACACACACACACAGAGGAATGAATGCCTTGAAATTATCGTCCATCTAAATAGTTTTTTCCCTTTTTAATCTAGAGCTCCAGTTATTTCTCTTGCAAAGCAGTGGTCAAAGTTTTTGGTTTGGGCTTTCCTAAAAGCACGGCATACATACATAGAGCTCTCGTATATAAGTGGAGAGAGGAGAGGAAGAAGGCCTGTGGTCACTCCTGAATGTTTGGTCTCAGTGCAGATTTTTCCCCAGTGGTTGAGTTCATTCACTTCACAGCAAAACAGGCATTCAGGATTCAGAGGGTTGCTTCATGTCTGAGGGCCTGTGAGCCAGTGGAATAAAATAATAGCAAATTGCCTTTAAAACAATGGTTGGCCACGTTTGAGCTCCTTCAAAGAAAAGAAGGGTGGCTTTGTTAGCATGAACTGAGGTGGGCAGTGAGGGCCTGTCCTGAGGCCTTCCCTCTCTACCCCCACATGCAAAAAATGGCAGATTGTGAAGCTTACGGGAGAAGAATAAAGGTTTTTGTCCGTCCGTCCGTCCCCGTCCGTCCGTTTGTCTGTGTCTGCCAGGTGAAGGCTACAGACCCTATCAAATCTACTCCTTTCTCTTTTCAGAATTCAACCAGACAGTCCAGAGTTCTGGAAATATGACAGACAAAAGCAGTCAGGATCAGCTGCTGTTTCTCTTTCCAGAGTTCAGTCAACAGAGCCAGGGGCCTGGGCAGTCCGATGATGCCTGCTCTGAGCCTACCAACAAGAAGATGCGTCGCAACCGGTTCAAATGGGGGCCCGCGTCCCAGCAAATCTTGTACCAGGCCTACGACCGGCAAAAGAACCCCAGCAAGGAAGAGAGGGAGGCCTTAGTGGAGGAGTGCAACAGGTAACACCACCTCGAGCGGCAGGCACGCACATGGACCCAGGAGCCAGCCTCTGGGGCCAAATCAGAGCTTCCCACAGTGCGTCTCACAGAAGCTTGATTTCAAGTCATTAGAAATAAGTTTAAGGAACATCATATGCACTGTCTTCATAGAGACTTATGACATAATTTAAGATGCTAAAGGCTCTGAGAGCTCTACAGTAGACAAAATCTTGTAGCTCTGTTGAACTGGTCGTTAACTATGGAATCTTTTTCTAGGGAACACTTATTAATAACTCTGCACTGTTGTTACCCCAGGGAAGATACCCTGGAGAACACCAGGCTAAAATACGATGTGAATGAAGTGAGAATCGTGTTTCATCCCTCAGGCTCAGGCTGGCTCTGGCCTGGACCAAGCATTGCCTCACTCCCTGTTCCCAAAGCAAACTTGGTGGCAGAGCAAACGGTGGTGGGATCTGCTTGGTCTCTCGGCCTACACTAACCAGAGTTCTTTTTTGCATCTTAACAACTACATGTCATTTTACAGAAAGCTGTTAGTATCCTTAGGGATTTCTTCTTGCTTCATTCTCATCCCATCCTTCCTGACTCCAATACCAGCTTTCTAAAACAGCTGCTCTTTGCTCTGGTCCACACCTATGGGCCTTCTCTCTGTTGCTGGCTGGGCTGGCTTCGGCAGTGGGGGGTTGGGAGGCAAAGTGATCGACCTGTACAAGTCACAGCATCTTCAGGCCATATTCGGTCCAGTGATGCTGAACTCAGTACTAAGACTCTCTCGCACCTGGGGTTGGGGCGTGATAGGCAATGATAACACTAGAGACCAGTCATCTCAGCATGGAGAGGACAACTGTGGTACAACTAAGGAAGTGCCAGGCTTCCCTGACACTCATTTGGGGTATCCCAAACCCTAAAAGAAGAGAAGTCCTTTCAGCATGACTAGAAGGGATTCAGACAGAGCCACAAAGGATTTTGTCTTTTTAGGGTGGAAGAATAACAACATAGGGATGTTTCAGAAAGCCCAGTCAGAACTTTCTCCCCCGAGTATCCACCCTCCATCTCCACTTGCTTCCTTCCGACCACCAGCCACCTCAGAGACCTAAGTCCCCACTTGCGGGAAGCAGCTTGCTCTGTGCCTATGTTCAGGCCCTACACCAGACATCTCTTCAGTCACCACTGGCTGGCTTTTCTCAAGACAGGCTCTTTCCCAGGCTTCCACTGTCCTTGGCCTCTTCTAGCCAAGTCCACTGTGATAGGACCAAACTCCCCCCATGCCTTCACTCACTATCTCCCCTTCGTCGTCCATAGGGCAGAATGTCTACAGAGAGGCGTCTCCCCCTCAAAAGCCCACGGCCTGGGCTCCAATCTGGTCACTGAGGTTCGTGTCTACAACTGGTTCGCAAACCGCAGGAAGGAGGAGGCGTTCAGGCAGAAGCTGGCCATGGATGCCTACAGCTCCACACAGACGCACAACCTGAACCCCCTGCTCTCCCACAGCTCCCCCCACCACCAGCCCAGCACCTCTCCTCCAAACAAGCTCTCAGGTAAGCCGGGCCTGGGCTGCACTGCCTCAGCTGCGTGGCCATTCTGCTTCTCCCCTGGTGCAAGGTTTTTTCAGAAGAAGAAAGGCTTTGGAGTGATCCGAGAGCTGGTACTTTTGGTTACCAGAATAAGCTTGTGAAAATAGCGTGTGCCTCTGGTCACTTCTCTTCTAATGTCTTGGTTGGCCTCCAGAATCTGCCCCATTCTTCTCTGGTCCTCTCTTCTCCCCGGGTGGCTGCTGACTCAGCTGGTCAGTGCCGCCATCAGGATAGCCAGAGAAGGCTGCCTCATTGCTACGCCAGACCGAGGGTGTGCGTCCTCTGTCCCTGTCCGTGCCCCACGCCAGGGCTCCGTCCAGCGCGGCAGGAGGAGCTCAGGGGTCTTGGGGAAGAGCCACTCTGCTTGTTGGCCTGGGCCAGTTGAGTACCTGCTATGTGCTGTGGTGCGCTAGGCCTGACCCAGACTAGGAGGCTCCCCCAGAAGGGTGTGGGTTTGTCAGAATGGAATCCTACATCGTCATGTGTGAAAGTGGCCTCTGTGCCGAGCACGTGTCAGAGAGAGGCAGCGAGCGCTTCTCTAGGGGCTCAGTTCTCCGGGAAAGCTGGCTTCCCGAAGGGGGGGCTTCTTGAGGTGGCTTTGGTGTCTGTCCAGACGAAGTGTGGCCTGGTCTCCTGCCTGCTGTAGGAAGAGGAGAGCAGAGCACTCTTTCCAGCTGGGCGCGAGTGGTGATTCCGAAGCTCTCTTCCCTCCACTGCTGGCTGCCTTTTCATAGGAGAGGCCTGAGATCTGCAGACTAAAGTGTGGGCGGGGATGGTCTCCGAGCCACCAGCTGGGTGGGATGCAAGCTTTGCGTGACGCCTCCCCCACCACACACGCGCACACACACAGCCTGTGTCCTCATAGTCTGAGCTCCTTGAGGTGTCTGAAGCCTGACATTGTCCAACAGGAAGCCTGGGCCAGGACTGGAGTTTCTCCGGGTCCTGTTCCTATAAAAAGGAAGGGCTCAGCCATGTGGGGAGAGTGTTTGGGTGATTCTGGAGGGGCAGAGAAGCCCCCAGAAGAATATTGTCCTGTTTGCAGACTAACTTGGCGAGTGAAATGCAGAGGGTTCGAGGGCAGTGGCGAGCGGCAAGTGGCCAGCTCTGCACAGGACTGGAGCACATGCCTCCGCCCGCAGTGACCCATGGAGCTGGAGCTGGAGCTGGAGCTGCAGGGGGGCGTGGCTGGGGCAAGAGGCATTATGGAGAAGACAATGGCTATTGTGCGGAGACCTGTGATCTCCACACCAAAGTCAGGGGGCCTGCAAGCCAAACAAAGGCCCAGCAGCTTTCTGACAAGCTGGGGTTGTAGTGAGGTCACCACAGGGTCGTTAGCTGAGGCTTTCTGACTGCAGGCACAGAACTGGGACTGGAGGGACGGGAGCAGGTACCCGTGACCTGGCAGGGTGGATGGGAACCACCGTCAGGATGCCCTTCCGATCAGTCTGAGAAGCCATGTTCCTCTGGAAGTGGACACTCCTGGGTGCCCTGAAAGTCTGGACCGTCTTCAAAATCTTGTAGTGTTAGACCTGGGAGGGGCTTCGAAGTAGGAAAGAGATGAGAAGGGGTAGTGCTTTCCAGTTCCTCAGTGCTGTAGGAACAGAAGAGGGGCTAGAAACCAGCCTGCCGGTCCCCACTGTGCACTTTCTTTCCTGTTGCACCATGTGCGTGAGGTGGTACCTTGCCAGGCATTGGCGAGGAGTCAGAGGTTCCCCCCAAACCCCCCCACCCCACCCCCGCCCAGCCTGCCCTTAGCAGAACCTCTCAGGCCAAGCTGGGGAGCTGAGGCCATTCCCTGCTGCTCTCCACACAGGCATCTTACCCTCCATCCCTCGTCCTGGAGAGGAGCTTACCCTGTCTTCACATCACACTTCTCTGGAGACCCCAGAACCAGCTGGGGATCAAGTTTACTGGGAGAAAGGGGGAGCTTTGTGTTATCTTTCTAGAGGGGCTGCTGTTTATAGAGCAATAATATGCAACTCTGCATATTCAGTGGCTGCCTGTCCCCTCTCCCTTAATTTTCACTCAGAGTTCATCAAAATTGATCTTGCCCATGCCTAGGGACTGGCTTCTCTGGACTGACCTTTGCCCTGTGGTTCTAACCAACCAGGCTAATTTCCCACAACTAGCCATGTGGTCAATCACTACATGCTCCGAACCTGAGTTTCCTGTCTGTGAAGTGGAGAAATAGTACCTACCGCGCAGGGCACATGCGAGGGTTTACTAGGAAAATGTGTAAACACTGTCTTTCCCAATAAGCGTAATTATCATCATTACTCTTGCAGAGGGCTCCACAAGTGGCCGTGAAAAAAATAAAGGGCAGCAGAAACCTGTTTCCTTTTACATTTCGCACGCTGGGGCCTGATTCTTAAGAAGCAGTGAGATGTGTCTCAGCCCTGGGCTGGAAGCTGGGCAGCCATGGGCTGGTAGCTGCAGGATGCTGGGAGCAGACACCTGAGTCATGGCAGGGCTAGACAGATACAGCAGCTGGAACCGAGGTGGTGGGAAGGCTTTGGTCTGCAGGGCTCACGGTGCATTTCCCTGCGGTCCTCGCAACCAGCCTGGTCTCTAATCAAGCCCAAAAGGTAACTGCATGCAGAATAGAAAAAGAGCTCTGTGATGGGAGAAGAAAGCAGCCTGCAGAGTCAGCAGAAGGAACCTCTGAGGCTGAGCTGGGGAGACAGGGCCCAGTGCCCACCCCCATCCACTATTCTCCTGGCCTCTCCAAACATCAGCCCCCAAGCCAGGCTGGACGGGGCTGGCTGTGCTTTCGATGCAGATGCACATCTTTCTCTCTCAAACCAGCTTCCGGGAGAGGAGCGCATCCCTTCTCGAATCACCCCTTCCCTCCCGGCCGGACTCAGGGAGTTGCGGCCCGCTTGCCCAAGATGACCACAGTGTGACCCTGGTGCTGGAATGTCCGGCACAATAGGAGTGGCAGGAGGAGCACTCTGCCTCTGTCAGCGGCTGATTGGTTACAAGGTGCCCTACAAACACACTGTCAGCAGAATCAGCTGTTTCCAGCGTGGCCCCTCGGCTTTACAATCACACACCAGCATGCAGCCCCGGGTTGTCATGGCTTTGTCTCCCTTATGCATGCTTAATTGACAATTAAGCTGGGGCTTTGAACCAGCCTGGCTGCCGCTGACAGGCCTTCATCTTTCCAGTGAGTGTCACAGGGGCACCCTTTGTTTGCTCTTCTGCGGGCTTGAAGTTACTGTAGCAGGCTGCAGGCAGCCATTTATCTTCAGCCTGGAAGGCCTTTATCTGCACCCCCACACCCCATTCCAGCTCTCGCCAGCAGGAGCTGTCCCTAGTTATAGGCCCTGTGACAGCCCTTCTTGAGGCCATTGAGCAGGCCCGAAGCAATGGTCTCTGCCTCCATTCTGAAGCAGCATCAAGAGAAAGGCCCCCAAAAGGTCAGAGAGCGGGGCTATGGTAAGGAAGCAGACAGGTTAGCGACAGCCCTCCTATCGATCAGCTCAAGGAGGAGGAGGAAGTTGGCAAGGGATGGAAGCCAGGCTAGCCTTGGCCCAGGCCCTGGAACATGTGGCGTGAGGTGGCCTTGCTCACTGTACCCTTTGCTCCAGTCTGCAGCAGACTCAACCTGGTGCTTTGTGATGACAGCCAGGGAGGGGCAGGTGATCGTCAGCACCTTCACTCACGCCACGCTCTTGTCCTCACACTTGCATGGCAGGCTGAGAAGGAAGTAGGGATTCCGCTCCTGGGAGAAAGTGATGCACAGAGGAGAGAGGCCCTCCCACAGCAACCTCTCGATGTCCTGGACCACAGCCTCTTGACCTCAGAAGCAGCCTGTGCTTCTGTGGCGGCCGGCTCCTCGCTCCCTTTGAAGCCCGCCGCCTCTCCCAGCCCACTGGGCTTGATTACCTTGAGGTCCCATCAGAGTTTGAAAACAGGGAACCCTGCCTCCCGCCTCTCCGTCACCCCCTCCCTACCTCACAGTGCGTCCTCTGCAGCAATCCAACCCTGGATCTCACATGGACAAACTAGACTGTGGGCCGGGGTGTCTGTGTGGACCTTGTTTGCCCGCTGCCCACGTCTGTAGGACCCACGGAAAGGGCAGGGTGGTGAATAACCCCAAGAGCTGGTGTCCCTGGAGCACTTCCTAGGGAATGGGTCCTGGGCTGAACACCTACAGGCAGCATCTTCTTTCACACAACAGCCTTGTGGGGGAGACGCCAGCTGTGCTCTTACACCCATTTTACAGTCAAGAAAAGTGAGATGTTTTGATTGTAAGTGATTTGCCCAAGTACATGTAGTTTGTGAGCAGCAGAGAGCTTCTGAGGTGTCATACTCAGTCTCTGTCTCACAGCTTTATACAGATGCTACCACTTCAGGCATTCACACACACTCACACATTTCAGGCATTCACACACACACACACACACACTCACACACTTCAGGCATTTACACACACACACACACACACTTCAGGCATTTGCACACATACCCTCCCCATATCCTCTTCGTTTCCTGTTACGTTCCCTTCTGAGAGACAGAGCAGCTTTGGGAGTCCCTGCCAAGGCAATGGAGCAAGGGTGGGGGGCCCACTGGTTTACTCTCCCCCACAACTGTTGCCCCTGACCAAGGTGGATTCGCTGCCTGCCCAGGGAACAAATCAAAGCCCCTCTTTCACGACCCCATCCCATCTGGGTGGGGATTTGAACTGCCCTTGCGTCTGCACTGTCTGGGCACTAAATGCCTTAACAGCTTAATGGGCCTTCTGAGACAGTGCAAGCACCTCAGTTCTCTCTGGGGCTCCGCCCCCCCCACCCTGCAGCAGACAAGGGGAGAGGGTTTATGAGGGCAGTTGTAAAAATATTCATCGTGGAGGCAAAGGTCCCCATAGTAAGTGAGTGCCATTGTCTCCAAGTAGCAGATCATTTCAGTTCAGGACAGGAGCAATCGTGCCTTGAACGGGCGCTCTCAGGAAACACTGCCGC